AACAAGATTCAGCAATGACGAATCATGTTACAAGTCAATATGTGTCGCTTTTGCGATACGTTGTACAAGTGCACACTGAATAATGATTGACAGAAGGTTGGTATCGAAAGCCCCACTTGAAGTTGGGAGTTCTATTTAGTTGATATGCGGCGCCTTGAAATCCCCAATGATGAGACATTCTGCGTTACTCCAAGAACATATGTGTCTTAAGATAAAGTCGTTATCAAGACAGCATAGACTACAATATACTCCTCCTATAACCACTAACCGGTGTCTAAACATAAATGCACAACAAACTGCCTCACATGTACCGCTAACATGCGCCTCCGATATGATTGATTGTATATGAAAGTGATCCCAAACGTGTAACATTGTTCTCTTACGACTTATAACTCTATCAATTTTAATACAGATGTGGTCAGCAATGATGGGATAACAGCCTATATCTACAGTGAGCCAAGTTTCTGTGATAACAATTATACCGGAACTTCATTCATCCACTATCAAACTTAGCTCGGAGGTTTTATTTCAAGGACTACGGGCGTTCGTGTAGCACACATTTAAGGTGTTTAGGAGTCATTCTTTCTACCCATACAGGTCTCGGAAGCATTGTCTTTCAAGGCCTGACTTCCTGAAAACCCTTAATCGTAGGGTTCATTTCTCCATTTAGCTTTCGGACTTTGACGGGCTAATCTGCAACACAAAATGTAAGTTCACCAAGGACTTCTCGCCTAAACAAGCGCTATTTTTAACAATGTTTCCTTGTCTTCTTCCATTTCTCATCAGTTGCAGCGTCCACATTGGAACTACTTGAGACGATAATGGTTTTGTCTGGGTTGTCAGTCGCTGCTGTAGCAATTCGGCCACCAGTATCTAATGGTGTATCGCTCATTAACTGTTTCGGGATGGAAACCCTATTGCGTGTTACGCAATCGGTCCGGCACGTGCCGTAACAGCACTTACGACACTGACGCATTCTTTGCTATCAGTACCCATGTTACCGATACAGCCCTCATCAATCATTTTGTTAGCCAACGCCAGAAGTTAATTACCTCTTGTATGAGTAATGTTTTGCTCGAACAACAAAACCAATGGGAGTTAGGCTTTGAGCACCGTTTATAGGCAGTGGGATTTAAACTGGTACACACTGGTACACATCACATTGCATTCTTTCTTCCACATGAAATTAGCACTATGGCTGTCCACATCTGTGAGCAGAGCCAGCCGTCTTAAAAGTTAACTAAAAATAGTAACAGGAAAATGGATATATAAAAATAAAATCTCACACCTTAACCGAATAAATCAAGTCAAAGTTCATCAGGTATGCTATGATACAATAAATGCACACAAGCAAAGTCAAAACACACAGGAACAATATCACTTTCACTGAAATATATTCAATTAAAGCATGAACAGTAGTTTTGATGCGTAATTTACAATCAAAACTGTAGATTTGACTCAACGAGGAATAATACCACTGTCATTTTTAAATTCTCTTATTTTCCCTCATTCCCTTTTAAAAAGCTGACTCAATATTCTTCTAAAATGCACAGAACCGGTTTTTTTTAATTTGCCAACATTAATGAAACTTGTGTTTTATTGCATTTCTAAATAGACGAAAAATGGTTTCTACATAATACTTATGTATCCACAAGCTGTTTGTGAATAATAATACATTGATTGTGAGAATATCCTAAATCTGATACGATAACATTAGAAATGTGATTGGAGTCCGACTCATTCGGAACATATTTGTCACATTCATTAGAAATATCATCATAGATAAGTCTATTGTGAGGACAAATAACATCTGATGAGACACTGTCAGAACTATAATCAGAGTTTAACTTATTTAGAAATTGTCCCTCATATTTAATCAATATTTTATTTGGAAAAACCACATCATATAAAGTAACATCAGAGTTCTGATCAGGATTAGGTGCACTAGATACACCTACCACATATTTGGAAATAATTTCATTAGAAATAGATGAATCATGAGAACAACGTATACATGGTAAAATAACACAATGAATCTGACCAGAATATGATAATTTTGAAACATTCAACTCAGTAGGGTCGAAATTACAAAGTTTAGGATTATCTGCAACTAAATGAATATTAGTAATACAAACTGCTTGTATGTATCCAATTTTATCACATTTAGAGCATTTATCATTACGAAATACACAGGAACTACATAGATAAAATTTTCCACAGGACAAATATCTACCAAACTTGTGCACATCTTCGCAACTCCTTAATAAGATTTTACCAGCATAAACTTGAATACACATTAGATTGGAATGACGTAGTATTGTAGTGAAATTCTTGATGTTCTGACGAAACATTTTATGAAATTTTGATCCTTCACATCATTCAAAATTTGTACACTTTACATGGTTTGAAAGTAGTCCCTTGAGAGTTACATAAGGAAGTGTGTAAAATCTTTTATCAACTTGTTCATTTACTGTAATTTAGATTTGATTAATTGAACAATTATTGGTTGAGTAACTCAGTGGTAATATTTGTTTAGGTAATGATGTACATTTCTACTTATGACGAAATCTAGAACCGTCATTTACCCAATCACCTTGTTTTGGTTTCAACTGAGCAATAGAGCGTATTTAAACTACCTAGACAGTTATTTTCCAGTCTAAACCTTATTTTAGATTCTACACACCCCACGTGGATACTTTGACAAACTGTTTACAAACATATTTTTAATTGTTTCTCACCAACTGCATACGTTTAAAATCATCGGAGGTGATTTTAATCTGCCGGACATTAAATGGAATTCGACCTAGGTACTGGGTACGATATATCAAGTTAGTTGAAATGGTAGTTCTTTGTGGATGAGTCCAACACGTTCGAAAGCCGACTATAAGGAATAATATACTTGATCAAATGTTTGCAATCAATATCAACCCTACCTCAGTGCACGTCATTGATGGATTTTTTGTGAGTGATCACAGAGTCGTGGTGAGTGATATTCATTCTCCAAACACTATATCATTGAACTCTAAAGCTCAAACAATGTGCCAAGGCAGGCAGTTGTCGACCATGTGGTTTATAATGCTAACAGAGGCCAACATACTTTTAAGAGAAAGCTGAGGAAATTGAAGCAGAGCTAGTACATGCACAATTACGTGTATGGGCTACAAATTATGCTTAACTTGACTGGCAGAGATGATTCATCTCAATGCAAGTATCTTATATCTATGTACGATAAAGCCTTAGAGCTATCAGTACTTCGACTTTTCAAATCCCACGTGAAATCGAATTCCTTTGTCACGACCAGATTCTTCATAGTTAACGGCAGAGTTGCTGACGACCCTGATACTATTTGTGAATAATTCAGCCGCCGTTTCTCGCAATGCTACAGCACAAAACTCTTATCAGTACGCCTCCAACGATGACATCTAAGCGTCCATATACTGTTGATTCCATATTCACCAACATCAAAATGCCATAACAGCCCTAAAAATATCCTATGACGGTGAACCTGATGGGGTCCCTGCATAATCCGTGAAATACGGTAGTACAGATTTTCTATTATTTTGTTTAGAACTGTCCAATCTATGGACGATGAAGTCTATCCGTTTGTATGGAAAACACAGCTTATCATCCCCAGATTCAAAACAGGACCACCTAGAAATATTGCAAACTATAGGGTCATTACCTTGAAATCTGTGCTGTCAAGAATCATCCACAAATAGCTGTTACCATTTTCACTTTCTGCAAGCCTAATTAGCCCACCTTGACACGAGTCCATAACTATACGATCATGCTTCACACAGCACTTGACTTTTGACCAAATTACTCAGCAAAGTGGGGTTGGTCAGTCAGTGATAATTCTATACATCGGTTTTAATAAGATCTTCAATGGCATCACATAACCTGCTAAAGCTCTCTATATATGACACACGAGACCCCTCTTACTATTGGTTCAAGTCACTTAGAGCTGAATGTAGCTAAATCATTCGCTCCGGATCTCACTACCATAAGCCTATGGATATACTGGTCCTACAGTAGGCAAAAATGATAGGTGCTTGGACGACGATTTTTGGTGACGAAATTCGAAGACTACGACCAAGTACTCGTCGCCCAATACTTACGACAGCCGCCACATCAGAAGACACTACCGTATTTTAGAGAGGAAACTTGGGAAGCAAGTGAAACTATGTTTAATTGTTTAACAAAAATATCCACTGCACAGCCGCAACAAGCCCATTCGGCCTCTTAAAGTTTTTAGCTGTACGGTTCAGTCTGAGAAGTAAAGCTAATCTTTCAACACGTTTGCCACACAAATCTTTCTTTTGTGATAGTTAGGACCATAGACCGAAACTCATAATTAGCTTGTTTCTGGGGCTCTACTGAAGACAAATTACTACATGAGTGCTGAGTGGTCGCTAACCATTCGGCATATCAACGGGATATACTGACAACGAAGACTGTCATGACTGATCAGAAGATTATGAGGATTGTTCCTAAGTACAAAATAGTAAAGGCAAATCAAACCACATACAAAATGTGATGTATCAAGATATTTTGTAGCTGGTTACTTCTTTTAACGAAATTCCCAACTTCTTGGTCAGAAAATCGAGACTAAAGACACTTAAATTCGGATTGTCAACATATGTTCGTCCACGAACAGGCTAGATTTTGCCAAGTCTTGGAGAGAACTACAGTGGCTAGCGTCATTCATCTGTCAGTTATTGGAAGACCGACCTGTCTGTTATGTCAGATGTCCTTATCAAAGTGCTTATGGGTACGTTTTAGCCGGTGGTTTATTATCGAATTTCAGGAAACATAGCTATCGTCCAGCGACTGTCACAAAATTGGATTTCATGAAACAAAGAGCACAGTACGTTACGAAAGCGACCAACAAATATTCGTTGGTCCCTAAAGCTGACACTGATTTACTCAAAAGGAATAATAAACTGAGTTTACGAGAGGTAGAATTTATAAGAAATAGATATTCAGGACAAAAGATAAACTAGAGAATAAAACCTGTAATTACACACAATTTCCAAAACAGAAAAGTAAACGTGAATTATACATGGTATATATACAGTACAGGTACGACTATTACTATTATTCAAGCGTAGCCATTAGGCTATCCGCTTTTGACTTAGCTTGCGCATACTCGTCAGATTCAATATTATACAGGGGATTTCGACATTCATCTAAAATTACTTCTTCTTCACCAACAGGTCCTAAGTCAGTAATAAACTGAAATTCATCGATTGTTTGACGGATAAAATCTAAACGACTAGACAGTTCCTGCCAACGAGTTTCAGGGTCACATTTGGTATCCTTCTTGGGTTTTATGTCTCCTTCGTCACCATCATCCTCTTCAGAATGCTGTTTAAACTTTTGTACTGGGTCACAACCACATAGTTCATCTCTGACGAAAACTTCTACATCCAACTGAGGCCGAGTATGTCCAAGTTCCACTAGGACAGCAAGAGCGAACTGACTTGGATGAGCTGTGAGGCACAAGTCAGTTTGATACCATAAATTTATTAAATTTACACCGTCCTTACATAACTCATCAACGAGCTGAGCATCGGATCGATTCTCTAAAAGATAGGAATCAGAACGTGCACCACAAATTCGTCTCTAAATAGATAAAAGGAGAAAATTGGCCAGTCAAAATGATGATCTAGCAACCTGCATATCAGAATAGATAGCTTACATATATCAACAAAAAGTAGCCAGAAATGAATAACAAAAAACGGTTAACATGAAATGAAAGAAAAAACTAAGGTCATTTTGTTTACTCAACTTTTAACCAAACGGAGAACAAGTTTTTGAAGTATTACAACCTCCTGCATCAGTAAGCACCACACATAGAGGCAGAGGGTAAGTTGGTTTATGTAAGACGTATCCTGGACACAATAGTCGATGGAGATTTACCAGTTCATTTTACGAACTACTATTTTGTTTAGTTCCATGTACCTTACCTTAGCACTGGTTACACACTCAGTCGTTGATACGCGGGCAGTGCTTCACAGAAAGCTATGATATAAGCCACTCAACTTCTGCATATTTTTTACTATCATACATGCAATGTTTCATAGCCAGAGTAATGCAGGGAGAACTATTATTTCATTCTCATAGTTCCCTATATCAATTCGAAAAGAGCAAGAACAAAGATTCTAACAGGATAGCATGAATTCATTTTATTTCGTTTAGTTCTCGTCAACTGCTTACAACCTGTGATATTTAAGATCATAGTTACATAATGGGTTTAAATTAATTACATGAAAGGGTTTGGTTGGAAGTGATATTGAAGACATATTCGTATAGTATAGCAAGGGTGAAAATAAATTTAATAGACTGAATATTGTAAATATATACCTTATGTGATGAAAGAACATTCTACAACATTGATTGTGACAACAGTTCAAACGGCTAGAAACAAGTGATTATATAATGAATAAATATTGATAGATGGTGGTTGGAGGTAGTCGACAGGAAACCCTGGACCTGGGTTTCGTGCTACTTGGCACTCTTCAGCAAGGTTTACCTGTAATCTTGAGGGGACTGGTGCTCTCTGGCGGATTCGATCTCGTGTCACCTAGCTTCACAGTCGATAGCATTCGATCTGCTCTAATACGGACTAGACACGCACGACATTGATCGCCACCCACTGATCAATCAATTGTGAAATACTGATAGGAATATGGTGAGTAGAGCTCAGTTAATAAAACATGGTTACTAATCTGGAAGATAGTTGAAATAAAACGCAATGATGTAATAAATACAAGAAAGAGTTTAAAGAAGAAGATGCAACGAAGGAATATTTGTCACCAAGGAAAGGAAAGGCAAGATTAATAACCATCTCATTTTGAACATACATGTCACGATTTTGACGCCTGATAGCAACGACTTGAGCAAACTTCAGAAGACTGGAGGTTAGTTGTTTACTAATCACCTTAAAATATTGCAAAGTATCGACGTTATGCCTTGTACCAAGAAGATGTTTGGTAATCGCACTGTTTAGAGTCTTTCACTTGTTTTGAGGCTTTCTGGAGCATGTTCAACAAATATAAGATATGCCGTCCTTTCTGTTTGGCCAATGTAGCTGCTTTAGCAGGTAAACGTAAATTTATAAATCCAGTTGGTGGTAACACTAAAGGGGTGCTTGTCAACCTTTGATTGAGTTATTTAACATGCTGGTTTATACAGAATTAATAGTTTGGCTGCCGGAACATGTGCCGGAAAGCCTCAGAACAAGTGAAAGAAAGACTCTAAACAGTGCAATTACCAAACATCTCCTTGACATAGGGCATAAGGTCGATACATTGCAATATTTTAAGGTGATTAGTAAACAACTAACCTCCAGTCTTCTGAAGTTTGCTCAAGTCGTTGCTATCAGGCGTCAAAATCGTGACATGTATGTTCAAAATGAGATGGTTATTAATCTTGCCTTTCCTTTCCTTGGTGACAAATATTCCTTCGTTGCATCTTCTTCTTTAAACTCTTTCTTGTATTTATTACATCATTGCGTTTTATTTCAACTATCTTCCAGATTAGTAACCATGTTTTATTAACTGAGCTCTATTCATTTTATTCCTATCAGCGTTTACAAAATACATTTGACTGACATACCAAAACAAACCCTTTCTACCACTAACACCAAGTTATCAAGACTTATTCCCACTAACCCTCCGACCACCCGAATAAAAATGCTCCCGAGGGGTTTGAAAATAAGGCAAAACTACTATCGAATGCCCATTAGCTTTCAATAATTCTTTATTGGATCAGGATGGAAACTACTCTATAACCGTAGGAAATCACTTGATAAGACATTAAAGCGATTAAATATATAAAATAATAAAAATTTCCCACCTGATATGCTACTAAGTCGATAACAAATCCAGTTAACGCTTGATACGGTGTATACACCCACAGATCATAACCCAGTGATTCCATCAAAAAAAGTTCAGAATTGAGAACCAGATAACTGTATCGCTCTTGATTTCTAGGGATATGCGAAATGAAAGTCTGAAGACCAATTGGGAAATCTGCAGCTTTACAAGCAACGTACAAGCATGTTAACATTATATCACGTGGATAAAAGTCCATTACAGAATGATTAAGATAAAAACGTTTAAAATAGGTTGCAGCAAAACCATATACCTGAAATAACGAAAAAAATGATGAAAGCTATTAACTAATTCGATTAAAGAACTATCAGCTGTATGTATATTAGTTAAGGTCAAAATTATAATGCTCAATAATCAAGAAGTCTATGAATGTGATGTTCTAGTCACATACATACTGTGTTCAAGTTATTGATAATACTCAACTACTCAAACCGAAGTGAAGAGAGGTTCAAATATGTAACCGAATGACTGAAATCTATGTGATTTATTCATTAGATTACTACTCAAAAAGATAACTGCATCTACCTACTCAAAACGTCAGCCAGTGTTAAAGTAGAACCTGGAACAGATGCACGTTGACCCGAATTGTAATATCACATATGCGTAATATGAGATTAACAGTATGCATAGCAAGAAATCGAAATAATATGGTAGCAGCGACAATAAAAGTGACTAGAGATTGAGAACACGATTTGAAAAGAAAGGGTGGAAAATACTGTACAGGGGAACACTGAAATTCGAGATCAGGAAGGAGATATAAAAGTGGATGCATTTACAGCACAGTTTTTTTTAAATAAATAGGAAAAGTCAGATCGGGATTTCAGTAAGAATTGAGAAAATCACAAGGATGGTTTAGGAGTGGTTAAGTGCTCGCGCGCGAGACCACTAGGCCCTGGGTTCGAATCCCGCGAGGTGCGGGGTCGTGGATGTGCACTGCTGAGGAGTTCCATACCAGGACGAAACGGCCGTCCAGTGCATCCAGACTTTCCATAGATTTCAACTTGTGAAATCGTTTATTGCCCCCAAATGCCCTGGTATGGCCGAGAGTGGGGTGGATTCGCCCTCCCTCTCGAAATACTCTCACACGGCCACGCGTATACAGCCTCTGCCAGGGAAGTCCTACTCATTGCCTTCTCGTGGCGAGGGTGTTGTTTACGAAAATGAGAGGACGAAAAGCGAATGCCGGCGCTTTAACCGGATCCCAAATCAATGGTGCACATGGGCACCAGTATCCTGCGGGAACAAATGGCGTATGAACCAATTTTCGGTCACCGGCTACCATGGGACTGCATGTCCTTACGATGCTCCACTGCCTTGTGGGTTAGACCTTTAGGTCAAAGGCTCGGGGTGTGGCCCCCTAAGATAACCACCTGATTCGGTCTGGGCACCCGAGCAGTATCGCAGCCCACACGCAATTAATGAACTGAACTGTCTATGATCATGGAAACTAATTTTCTTGCTTCGACGAACATTCAAATGATTCAATTATTATTATTGCTATTATTATTATTATGATTTACTACGACATTATTCACCCTCTTTTATTCCTACTCTGTCTATACTTATTTTTTTGACTTATACAGCAGCTCGTCTATGGTGGAAAATCGACTCTGTCTAAACGTTACCGAGTCACTGTCCGGTTGAAAATTGTGTTACCACCGAATATAAGTACTGAAGCAGTTTTTCTGAAACCACGTGCACTATTCAAACTGGCTGCCTTTAACGTTCGCACATTTATGCAGGTCGGACAACAGATAGGGCTGGCTATGTCTTTAGAAAGTCTTAATATTGATGTTTGTTGTCTATCCGAGACCCGTATTCAAGACTCTGGCGGAGTACTACAAATTCGATCTCCATCTGTCGCTTCAAAAAGCTTGTTTTACGTGCGCTTATCCGGAGACCCTGTGGCTTCTTCGTCTGGTCTTGCTGGCGTTGGTGTCGCACTAAGCGCTAGAGCTGAGGCGGCACTAATCGACTGGATCCCCATTAACAGTCGGTTATGTGCTGCTAGATTAGACAGTTCCATCAAAGTGAGAAGAAATCGGCGTGAGAAACGATGTCTCTTCGTCGTCCCCGCCTATGCCTCGACAGATTGCAGCCCGGATGCAATCAAGGATGAGTTTTACCACCAGTTATCTGTTCTTCTCCAGAAAGTGCGTTCGACAGATATTGTAGTACTAGCCGGAGACTTGAATGCTCAGGTCGGGCGACTAGGCACAGAAGAGGGTCGTTTAGGTGGCCGATGGGGACTTGTTGATCTCAGGAAAGATAATGGGGGCCGTCTACTGCAACTTTGCACAGACCACAACCTGTTTCTGGCTAGCACTAACTTTCGGCACAGTCATCGCCGATGTGCCACCTGGCGTCCTCCCTCTGCATCTCAAGCCTGGACTCAGATTGATCACATCGCGATCACCTACCGCTGGCGTGGTTGTGTACAAGACTGTCGCTCCTTTTGGAGTACCTATCTGGACTCTGATCATGCCTTGGTCTGTGCCAATCTTACTTTACTTTTCAGTGGACAACGAAGTGACCGCCACCAAAGGATTGATGTCAGCAAGTTGGTTGCAACTCCTGTTGCAAGTAAGTATCGAATCGAGCTAGCCTCTAGGCTAGCTACCATACCACCGAAAAGTATGGATGAGCATTGGTTGCAATTGCATGACGCCATAAAAATGGCGGGTACAGTCAGTTGTGGGTTTGCGAAACGTCCCGCTTTTAAGCACTGGGTTTCTTCGGGTTCCTTACAACTCATTGAAGCCCGTCGGTCTACTCCGGGTGATCGTGAGTTTGACCATAAACGAAGGATGTTACGTAAGGAAATTGGGCAAAGCTTGCGTAAGGACTGAGAAGCCTGGTGGTCGGAGCGTGCTAATGAGCTGGAAGCAGCAGCTGCATCTGGTAATTACCGGAAGCTCTTACAACTCATCCGAGCCACTGGCAGCAAGAAGTCTGGTGTGAGTGAAACAATCTGCGAGGATGATAGGATGCCAATCACTAACATCCATTGACGTCTTAGACGATGGGCAGAACTTTTCGAAGGGCAGTTCAACTGGCTTGCTGCTCCGACAACATCGGTCAGACTGTCCTGCCCTCCATGGCCGGTGACGACTGATCCACCAAATGAGACGGAAATCCACAAGGAATTCGAACTTTTAAAATGCTACAAATCACCGGGCCCAGATGACTTACCTCCGGCTCTTTTTAAAGATGGTGGTGACTTTCTGACTAAGGAATTGACGACGTTGTTTACAAAGGTGTGGGAGCTAGAGAGTGTACCAACGTCATGGAATGAGTCGATAGTTGTCCCTATCTTTAAAAAGGGTTCACTTCGTTCCTGTAACAACTATCGGGGGATAAGTCTACTTCCGATTACGTCCAAGCTATTGGCTTCCGTCATACTTCGTAGATTGTTCAAAACCCGAGAAAGATTGACTCGCGAGGAGCAGGCTGGGTTTCGTTCTGGTCGAGGATGTATTGATCATATCTTCACCCTCCGCCAAATTTTAGAACACCGCCATACTTATCAAAGGCCAACAATCGTAGTGTTTCTTGACATCAGGGCTGCCTTCGATTCGTTGGACAGGACTGTTCTCTGGGATTGTCTATTGAAGAAGTGTGTGCCTGAGAAGTTTATTAACATCTCAAAAGCCCTATATACAAACACCTCAGGGAGAGTGAGGGCATACAACCACCTCTCTCCATTGTTCCATTCGAGCAGTGGGGTTAGACAGGGTTGCCCAATCTCACCATTCCTCCTCAACTTTGCCATCGATGACATTCTGGAAACAGCTCCGATGGATGTAAGTAATGGTGGTGTGGATCTGTTGCCTGGAGAAAGACTTCTCGACCTTGAGTATGCGGATGATATTGTCTTACTGTGAAATAATGCCCAAGGCATGCAATCCGCGCTTAATCAGTTGGCAATCAGTGTCCGTAGGTATGGTATGCGCTTTGCACCTCCGAAGTGCAAAGTACTTCTACAAGACTGGCAGGATTCTAATCCTGTACTCACTGTGGATGGTGAGCAGATAGACGTAGTCGAGAAGTTCGTGTATCTGGGTAGCTGCATAAGTGCTGGTGGGGGTGTGAATGATGAGATCAATGCACGTATAGTGAAAGCCAGAGCGGCTTATGCCAATCTGGGCCATCTATGGCGCCTTCGTGATGTTAGTCTGGCCGTAAAAGGTCGGATCTACAACGCGTCGGTGAGAGCAGTTTTGCTCTATGCTTGTGAAACCTGGTCTCTCCGAGTTGAGGACGTTAGACAACTCTCTGTGTTCGACCATCGCTGTCTCCGAAGGATTGCTGACATCCAGTGGCAACACCATGTCAGTAATGCAGAGGTTCGGTATCGTGTGTTCGGGCATAGAGATGATAATTCAATTGGTGTCACCATCTTGAAACACCGACTTCGGTGGCTTGGACATGTTCTCCGAATGTCGTCTCAGAGAATTCCACGTCGTGCATTATTTGCCGACTCTGGGACTGGTTGGAAGAAGCGGAGAGGTGGTCAGTGCATGACATGGTGTCGTGGCATGGAAGAAAGCTGCAAATGACTGGCTTGTGTTGGTCCTTCACGACTCCCTGGTTGGGGTCTGAGAGATCGTGCTACACGGTGGCTAGAGACGTTATCAGATATGGCTCAGAATAGAAGCCAGTGGCGATCATGCTGTAACCTTCTTATACTTTCTTCATAAAATGTGGTTGTATCTTCCTTAACTGAAAGATTTCTTCTGATTGTACCCTTCTGTTCCCCTACTATTACTATTATTATTACACTACCTTACACCAATCTCTTCGTTATTGTTTTTATATGTTTTTTTTACGTCACCCACTTTTTTTTCTTTTTCTTCTCAAATTCTCATTGTTTTGTGTGGCGCATATATATTTGGCGCACTCCTGTACCAATATATGTGTGTTCAAATAAATAAATAAATAAATTTAGGAGTACGAGAATCATCAACTTTCTGTTTTGATGAAAACATCGAAAGTATGTGGTCTTCCACAATTTCTGACAGCTAATAAATTGAATTTGAGAGAAATGATTTTCGCAAAATACATGACGACGGTGAGGTAGCTGTAAAATCTGACTTTTCACGACTTCCAAGAGTATTTCAAACAACAGAAATGGAGACAGGACAGTTATATAGTTATAATAGGCAGTAAAATTGACGTGTGCTGAACTATAGAACGAAGTTTCAGCAACCACAGTTCAAACATTTACTGGACAGATTATGCATCTGAACGTTACTTTTTGCAGAAAATCTCACTAGTTAGACAAAATTGGAACAAGTTATATATATCGTTAGTGCGAGGGATTTGAGTTACTTCATCGTTGAAATTAGTGAGTAGACATTTGTCAATCATTATTGGCATGTGTCTGTTCTGTGCAGGTAACATCTACATAACCATTTTCAAAAGTTATTTAAAACAAATGGATTGTAGAATATAGAACGCATGTTACATCCTATTTGAGACTCGTTAGATGGATGTATTTGCATTACAATACTTAAGTATACTCACAGTTGGACTAGAACATACACCTGATTTAAACATTTTGTTACCCACAGAATTACTGAGTTCGGATCACTCAGTCAGTCAGTTAAACGTAAAGTAGAACCTGATACGTATGTAGATCGGTTCAATTTGCCACACCCCATTAGCACAGAAACATGAAATTGTTAGGACAAATCCAACGGCCTAAATTAACAGCCAATGATTTTATCAACTGATATCTACTCATGTTTTGGTCATCGCTAACGTTTAAACAATTTACTTTATACAAACCAGTAAAGCAGATCAGGATAGGCAGTGGCTGAAAATGACTAGTGCACGTTTCAACTACTTTAGTCGATATAAGTTCACAACCCAATTAACAAATTTACCAAGTTTACTGACCTTTCACTGATGAAGACAGATAGATTTGAATGGGTTCATGTATGGCTACTTTTACTAATTAACAATTTTCATTCCCTAGTACTGAACGAACAAATAGAAAGTTTACACCTTATGAAATGTATAGTTCAGATAAATAATGATAACCAATACTCATACAATATTATTTATCAGTCTAAATGTAAACGAAGAATACTAACTTATCAAAAATGAAACATATTTAGTTACTTGATCGAGTACAAACAGAATGATATGAAGTTATCTACACTCTTATGACAATAACAATACTTGCTTACTTACACCTGTTACTCCTCATGGAGGAGCATAGGCCACCCACAAACACTTTCCATCCAACCCTGTCCTGGACAATTCTTTCTATCTCTTTCTAGTTGTTACTTATCCTTTTCATATCTGCTCTTATTTCCCGACGTAATGTGTTCTTTGACCTTCCTCTTTTCCACTTCCCTTCAGGATTCCAAGTCAGGGCTTGCCTCGCGACGCAGTTTGATGATTTCCGTGATATATATCCTATTTATTTCCATCGTCTTTCCCTAATTTGTTCTTCAGCTGGAAGCTGGTTTGTTCTCTCCCACAGTAGAATATTACTGATGATATCCGACCAACAAACATTGAATATCTTGCGTATATAGTTGTTTATAAATACTTGCAATATTTTGATTATGGTTGTAATAGTTCTGCAAGTTTCGGCTCCGTATAGTAGAACTGTCTTGACATTCGTATTGGAGATTATGACTTTGATATTGGTTGAAAGTTGTTTTGAGTTCTATATGTTATTCAATTGAAGGGATGCGGCCCTTGCTTTGCCAATTCTCGCATTTACGTCTGCATCTGAACCTCCTTATTCATCGATGATGCTTCCCAGGTATATGAAGGATTCTACATCTTCCAGAGTTTCTCCACCAAGTGTGATCGGGTTGGTGTTCTTCGCGTTGCATTTGAGGATCTCGCCTACTGCTACATTAGCTACCTTCATCTGCATTTGTTCGTGTGTATGAGATAGGAGGGCTATGTCATCTGCGAAGTCCAAATCGTCTAATTGGTCCTGAGATGTCTATTGTATGTCGTGTTTTCCCTCAGATGTCGAGGTATTCATAATATAGTCAACCGCCAGTAAAAACTGAAGGGGGAGAGTATACAGCCTTATCTGACTTCTTGCTTGGAATGCATCTGTCAGCTATCCTTCGTGTACGACTTTGCACTGAAGTCCGTCGTATGAGTTCCGGATAATGCTGACAATCTTCTCAGGAACTCCATAGAGTTCTCCTATCTACACTGTCAAACGACTTATCATAGTCAATGAAGTTGATGTATAGTGACGAGTTTCACTTAACAATGATCCGTAGTGTGACAATTTGGTCTGTGCACGATTGATCCTTGCGGAATCTAGCCTGTTGATCTCGAAGTTAGGTGTCTAATGCGTCTTTTATCTGGTTCAGTAGCACTCTGATACTGAAATTAGTGTGATACCTCTGTAGTTTTCACATTTGTTCAAATCTCTTTTCTTTATAATCTTGATGAGGTGTCCTTCTTTCCAGTCCGACAATAATTACACTTGAACTTTAAAAATAAATAAAAAAATAAAAAACTGAACAAATTTGATTATCAGTTCAAAAACTTACTTCATTTGGTAACTGAGGTGTTGTAAATTTATCAAATAAAATTTTCATTAAATATACATAATGTTTAATAATTTTAAATTCTTGATCAGGATCTAATCCAACAACAGTTAATGTATTGTTTACATTTTCATTGGTATTTTTAATTTCTACTTCTTTAATTGATTGTAATCGTTTAAGAGCAGTTGTATTACAATCTGAACGAAGATTAACTAATTCTGAAGGAGAAAAATGCCAATTACAAAATTGAGTACTAGTTACATAGGCCTGAAAATGTAGAGAGAAAACAGGAAACGAGAAGTTAGCCACTGTGATATTAAAATTAAAATTTCAAGTAAAAATTGTTCACTAAATCAAATAAATTGTCTTTACAGTAGAAAGTTACTTCATTGCCAGCTTATACAATCAGTCATATACAACACAGAACCTGGAACATGTGTATATCGCTAAAAGCCGACAGTCTATCTGCACAGAGAGATGGAATTATAGAGAAAAATCCCAGGGAAGAAGAGGTAGTGACAACATTAATGGTAATTGAAAAGACTGGGTATCTAAGATACGATTAGATAAAATATGGATTCGTGGTACTTAAAAAAAACAATCATAAGGTTATTCAAAATCTTGGAATTTGAGGGAATATAACTATTGAATGCATCTGTGCTATCGGGAAAATTCCGAATCATGTCACACAGTCTTTAACTATTGCTTACGATAATCACACAGACTCTAACCAGGTAGCCTGCAGCTGCCTACATAACTCAGTCAAATAATCAGTTTATTTATGAAATGATCACGGGCAGTAATCTTCCCGATTACTGCTTATACTCTTATTACCTCTACCACTACGGGATTTGAATCGACAACTGCATCTCTGTGCTAATGTGGTGTGGCAACTCGAACTGATGTACGTACGTACGAAGTTCTACGTTGTTACTGACTGACTGATCACGGGTTACGTAACAGTATACTGAATATAAAGACTGACTACAGAAACTCTTAACCTTTAGAATGAATACATTTTGCCGAAGAAACTACACTGAACAAGCACAAATGTGGAGAATTGTCTCCAGAATAAGTACAATAGCTGCATGGGGACTGTAAAGGAGGCTTGTAAAACTGAATTATAGAGTATTATTTAACATTTTACAACGAACTGACACAAGCCGAGTAAATATTCAAGTTAAGAATATTACTTTGCTTCAATGCATAGTATCTGAGAATGGGCATATAATGATCTAGAGGACACATGACCACTTCATCGTCAGCTCGGTAGTACACCTAATAATCACTAGCTAGTAGACGGACCTATACGGAGTTGCAGAGTTCGGACTTTGAGAAATCTTAAATTTACACTGATTGTGTAGCACAGGTATGTAGACAAAAAACGACTCGGTTTTTACAGTATAAAACTTTTACTTTTCCCCCATGTTTTCACCAAGTCAGTGTAAATATAACTCTCGATGGAGGTGCAATAGTGAAAACATTTATCTTACGCTTTAAATGTGTATTATTGACTACAATACATTAGTATTAGTAAAACGATTGTGATCATGAGGTATTTTAGAGGCTGTTGAATTTGAAAAAAAAACGAATCACAAACTGACTCAGGAAGAACTAAACAAATGCTAAGTGCTAGTAAGGGATTCTACATCAGTGAATATTCACGACCGCACCAGGGATCGAACTTGAGACCTTCAGACAAGCGTTTAACATTTAAATCACTGAGGTGACATCTAGCAGTCTATATTTATAACTTGAGACAGTTTTTGATATGTCTGTGCATTTGAACCAAAACTTTCCGATTCACATAATGATGAATTCGAAGGTGAATGAGACTTCTCTACATCTCTTCTGCCTTTACTACCCCAAGCAATATCACACTAGCATGAACTCCTTGACCATTCCAAACAACTCGTTACAAAAAGTAAGCGAAGACATAGGCCTCTGCAGGTTTTTTAAAATTATTTCACATATTGATGGTAAAACTTACATACGGTACCTACAAGCAATGGTTGCTGAATAGTTAAGTGTGTAGTAATTAGCTTATATGGGATCGCATAGTGAAACAATCACAATCGTATTTTCAAGGTTGAAGATTTTCCATTAAACAAGAGATTGAAACCACTGTACAGCTTTCTCAGTTGTTTTGAGGAAGTTATAGACGAGAGAACTAGATAGGAATGACAACACTGAACAATCCAAACACATCCATTATTTGGAAGCAATGTAAGATTGATTGCACACTCCTGTCATTCTTAGAGAAATTCCTAGGGTGTTTTCTCTTCGACAAGCGATTCCAGAGAATGGTACTATTTAATAGATTAAAAGCTGTCTATTTGATGAGAATTAGAAAATTTGAGGATCGAAACCTGAGGGAGTGGGAAGATCACTAACGTATGCGCAATATGAGTTCCTGCAGGTCCATTCATTGTTTTATAAAACAAAGTCAGCAATTATCACTAATTAGGTGTATTACGCAACCCCTGCTTGAAACTAGGAAAGAAAAAACTTCAGTGAAGTACGATGGTTTAGTCTAAATATAGACATTTTAGACAATCGACTTAGTTCCCTGATCAAAAGACTATCCCATCTTTGAAAAGAACGGAAAGTAGATCGCCTGGACTAAATGTCTTCTAATGTTGTAGTAATTTTATCATGATTATTGTGGTGACTACATACAGATCGTCTGTGTCTATCAAAACGGATCAGCCAAAAATGTAGTAGACTGATACTGTTTTGCTTTGAAAGCCACTACCTTTTTATCAACCAACTCCTGTATCAACCATCATTAATCATTAAGTTAGCTAGTGGATGGGTACAAGGAACACATAAGTTCCAGTCATGTTAGTCGATAGAGGTTTAAAAACTTATTATTGGATTTGTCATCTTTATCCAGTAACTTTAAACTAAGCTAGTTCAACACAAACCAGTTGAATATCACAGTCTCTGTTTAATAAACACAATGTTTAAGCTAAAACTTCAAGATATCAAAAATTCTCTACATAAGTTTAAGAAAATATCAAACATATTTGACAAAACTGTTTTCTATATAAAAAGAAAATATTAGGAAGAAAACATATGAATTTCATAACTCAACTTTATTAATTTCTTATTTTTACAAATCGAAAATAAAAAAAAGTTAGGACTCAACATAGTCGTTAGATCATCAGTACATAAACAATTCCATATACATAGATAGCCGGTTACAACGCAGACTGATCCTGTTCCATTGGAGTAGGACCGGAATCGGAGATAGTTGGTGCATCCGCTTGAGTAGCTTCGAATAACTTCAAATATGGATCAATATCGTCATCTTCAAATATTGTGAATTTCATGTCTTTTCCAACCATAGCAAGTGAACAATTCTAAAACATCAAATAAGATATGAAAATTCATATTTTTACTGTAGTATATAAAATCACTAAATGTAATGCTACTGAAATTAAGACAGTTCATAAAACTATTAGACTTTCAATCATTGAGTTACAAGTTTCCATCACCATCCATCCACCACAGTTAATTACAGTAGTAGAATAAAACCATCAATTTTGGATATATGGGAGATTGAATGATTCTAACTACTCCAACGTAAATGATATTCGAGTTTCGGGACTCACATATAATTATGTAGAAGAGTTAAAGTATCAGTCAAAATATTATAGAGAATGTTTATATTTTGTCAATACAATTATTTTGTGAGTGAAAAATATTTACTAACAGATTAGAGGAAATCGACTACTATCTTAATAGTTGTATTGGTAGGACTGACTTATTACATTTTAGCCTGCACGCTCAATGAGACCCAAGTTTAAATATGCTGATGCATTGCTAACTAGTCAACCCTGGTGGAAAAGACCAAGTACTTGAAGCATCTTTAATTTTACACAAACCCTTATGCTTTCTTTTCTCTGCACATTTTGTTTCGGTTTCATTTGGAATTGATTTTGTTCTAAACTCATTCTCGTTCGTAACCATATTATGTACAGTGAAATGAACTGGTTAAGGGGCGCTAGACAGTAAAGAACGTAGAAGAGGCGACGCACAAAGAAAAGCTGACATTGGTATTAAATGATTATTTGAATTCATCTCATAACAACAGTGGAAGAAATTGCATAATCATATGCGGTTAGTTGAGACACAGTATCTTAATATCATTTGTCTAGATTCACAAGCCATATCAACCTCCTACCTTGACGGTGTTCGTAGTGGCACTTTAGGGTTCATTTACAATCCTGTATGTGGACATATACTAAAGATTAGATATCAGTTATAAACGCTGAAGTCCTTCAGTGTAGTAGTGTTCGCGAATCGTTTTAAGTCACTTAGTGTTTGAACGTGAGCGACTTAGGTAGAAGTATATTCAGCAAATCTATCTCTGTGTAGTGTCTAGTACCATTTCAAGCCCATATGAGTTATTCTAGCTTTCGGACAAACCAATCTATTCATTCTTCTTGACTTACATTCTGACCTTGTTAATTATTCGCTTATTAACCTTGACTGTTATTAGATGGACGTATGTGAGGACATATAGTGTCAGTTATTATGCCAAGCCCATATACCTTATTCGAGCTTTCGGACATCCCATTCTATTCATTTTACTTGAGCCATACATTGACCTTGTTATTTATTCGCTTATCAATCTAGACTGTTTTTATATGAGCGTATATGTGTGTGCCCTTCTTATTCCATTAATCACATGTCTGTAGCTTTATTTTGTCTGACTATAAATATTGAGTAACACTTGACAAAGATGGAGTTGGCTTCCCAGCCATCTTCCACACGGGCACTTCATTGGATCACGTCGGGCTCACCAATGAAGTGCCCGTGTGGAAGATGGCTGGGAAGCCAACTCCATCTTTGTCAAGTGTTACTCAATATTTATAGTCAGACAAAATAAAGCTACAGACATGTGATTAATGGAATAAGAAGGGCACACACATATACGCTCATATAAAAACAGTCTAGATTGATAAGCGAATAAATAACAAGGTCAATGTATGGCTCAAGTAAAATGAATAGAATGGGATGTCCGAAAGCTCGAATAAGGTATATGGGCTTGGCATAATAACTGACACTACAGACATTACTCATCCTACTTACCACATATCAGTAACTTATTTTTGTCTGACTATAAATGTCGAGTCACGCTTGATCAAAACAAGTTGGCTCACTCGCCTTTGCTTCTGTCTGGATAGACGAATGCTTAAAATAAATCCCTCCAGCGCAACCCGTATTTGGCTTCTTATTACCACCGTCACACAAACGGGGTTAGCCTAGGTAATAAACAGAACTAAATGGGAGATTTATGTTCATAGTATATTCATACATCCATCTAAGTCGAAGTCAGATCAGCGGGCTACAAAGTGTTTACTAAAAACATCAGCAGTGAGGAATTTTGTATTTGGACTATAGGTATATCCGAACAATAAATAATTTAGGAATTTAAGCAGCGCGTAAGTATTTAAGAGATAATTTAGTGGAATCGGAAATGAATGGCTGACTGATGAAGGCCTAGAAACCACGCAATCAATCATGGTCAACGTAGAGCCAGGTACAAATGTGTTAGCAATCCTAGGAACACAAACCAGGCAGTGAATAACGTGATAAATTAAGTGCGTGTTAAAATGAAAACATATCAAGGTTTCATATAATGATCGACGTCTGTGATGAAAATGTTAAACTTCCAAATATAACGCTTTATGGTAAAACCAGTCTTTACATTTGCGTAGTACAGTATTATATTTTCAGTGGAACTTTATGTATTAATTCATTCGGTCTGAAATTAGTTATTTGATTTTTAGTACTTTTTTATTGTATACATAAATTCACTGATTTTATGCTCAAGAGATGATTGCTCAGACGGTAAATTTGTAGTCGGTAATCAGACATTTGATCGATATGTAATTGAACTAACTTGGATGTAAATCAACTTTATTATGCTTCTCCTAAAAGATTTTTTTGAATAGCTGGGGTTAGGAGTGAAAGACGTATCTGGTATTGAAGATCGTCAATTTTACTCCTGTTCGACAGTACACAAAATCTGGAAAGCGTCAAACAAATCAATTCATACAGTGGTGAAATATGTTGGACGATATTATTTCATGTAGATCGAAAACCTTTACAACATACTAGAATATTACTATAAATCATTGCTCCAACAATTGTTTACATACTACCATTGTCAGTCAGTCAGCTACAACGTAGGACCAGGCACATATATGCATCGGTCCAAGTTGCCAAACCTCATTAACACAACAAGATGGACACCGGATTCATAAAAGTAGTTAATTCAGAGGTGGTAATATATAAAGGGAAGATTACGATAAGGATATGGTGCAGGAAGAAAGAATGAAGTGATTTTAATCTTTTAGTTTAAGGGAAGACAGAGAGTGTATACACCGACGCCATTGTGATCGATTCTGAGCTACGTCACCAAGAGTTTCCAACCATTGGTTACGATAGTCACGCGGATCGCAACCATTGACCTAGGAATTAGTGGAAAACAATGTTTAACTAGACTTCGACTAGCTTCAAGCCGATGAATCATGTAATGAGACTATAAAGTGTCATTTTCATTTTATTTGTGTGCGTGCTGTGATATTGCCCGGGTGCCCAGACCGAAACAGGCGGTTTCCTTAGGAGGCCACACCCCGTGCCTTTGACCTAAAGGCCTGACCCACAAGGCAGTGGAGCATCGTGAGGAAATGCAGTCCCATGGCAGCCGGTGACCAACGATTGGTCAGTGTATGACGTGGTGTCGGGATATGAAAGAAATCTGAAAAGGGCTGGCTTCTGTTAGTCTTTCACGACTCCTTGGCTGGGGTCCGAGAGATGGTGCTACACAGTGGCTAGAAACGTTGTCAGATATGGCTCAGAATAGAAGTCAGTGGCGATCATGCTGTAACCTTCTTTTACTTTCTTCATAAAAAGTGGTTGTATCTTTCTTAACTGAAAGATTTCTTCTGATTGTAACATTCCGTCTACCCATTATTATCATTAAACTACCTTACACTAATTTAGTCGTTATCGTCCTTTTTTTCTCTTCCCATTTTTATTGCTTTGTGTGGCGCATATATATATGGTGCCCTCTTGTACCAATATTTATGTGTTCAAATAGATATACAATAAAATAAACTATAAAGTGTGCCATTTTGCTTTTTCTTAATGGTCAATATACTAGTAAACTTGGCGATGAACGTCATAAAAATCTTCAGTGACCTGACTCTTGGATTTAATAGCACACATGTCTTCCTCAAATGTATCCAAACTTGATAAATATAAGTAGACAGACTCATTTACTGGGCACTTGGGTATAAATCATACTTTGTAGGAATCAATATACTAGCTAATTCCCGAAAATCAGGAAGACTGGGCTGAGTTTGATGTCAGAAAACATTCATGGGATCAGTTTTGATGAAAATAAACTCACCTTTATATTCAAACTAACTTCATTTGGCAACGTGCTGTTTAAAGCCTTCAATCCATGACAAATTAAATCGTCCAAAGATGAACCTTTAAATTCATCTAAATGTCGTTCCAAGTAAGTACGAGCTGATTGAGAGCGAGAACCAATGGCTATGCATTTGCAATCGTATGCGTTTGAGGATGGACACTTAAGAGAAAAAGGTTGTAAATCTGAAGCTATGATAAAATACCAACTGATTAAACCTCACATTAACTAAAACGTAAACTCAACTGTTTATATGACGTACGTATTAGGTGAGGGATGAATTATAGCGAACTCAAAAAGACAATGTTTAACCACACACCAACGACTTTTAAGCGAATCAGTAACACTATGACTAGAAGGACGTAAGTTGAAAACTTGGGTGGATAAATCTAAGCGGGTAGTATCATGAGCTCTGGTACAAAGCATGAAGACGAGAATACTCTATCTGGAATAATTAAGGATAACGTTTTCATTTACGAAGATTTTCCAAATGGATTACCAATGAAGAATACCAACATCCTGGGACAAATTAAAGGTCCCTACGCTTCAAATATTTTGAAAAAAACATCTACGAATCCAAACTCCTAAAAGTACTCTTGAGAAAATCCGGGAAAAATTATTCGCGTTAATTATTTAGACTCTTCACCAGATAAAAAAATCTAAAAACGAACATATTAACTAAAATACGTTCGACATATTAGGCTTTTAGAGAATACACGCTTGATACAGAATTCGCTTGTGTATGTTTACTGGTGAATATGTTGTGGGACGACATAAACTGACATGAGTGATTACCACGTTGCATTCATATGTTTATACCATATTGCTAGTCTTCTAATGTATAACTTACCAGGTAGTAAACATGTGGTCCCAAGGCATCACAACCAGTGACTAGCATACCAACTCCGAAAGGTCGTCGACCATATCTCTGAGTAGGAACTTGCATCTTGAGAGCTATCTTAAATAGCAGACGTGAAATTGGTAATGGCTCATCGTAGGCCCATCTGCTGTCTGCACACTCACGACGCATTGAACGACTAAGAAGTCGGCCATCAGCAGTTAAACCCGAGATCGCTACCCCAACATGATCATCTATTTGAATGATTTTTTCTTGGTAGGAAGAGAGCTCAGATGGTGCTCTCTTAAGGGCAACAATTATGGCGTAATCATGATTCTTCAGGGCGACTGCTGCTGAACCCTGCTTTACAGCTTCCATAGCATATTCGATTTGATGAATTCGTCCTTGTGGACTCCATATTGAAACGTCGTGATCATACTGATTCCTAAACATTGCTGAGTAAGGTCGAAAGTCGTAGGCAACGCTTCAGGGGTATCGTCCACTGTTGGAGGTTGCGAGCACTTAAAGGTCAAACTGTCGCAAGATGATTGGTGCGTCACATCGACAATTCGTGAAAAGTTTCAGAAGCGGTCAAAACAAGACATTTTTAGATTTGAATTTAGTTCAGCCACACCATGTCTGATAACGTTCATTCTTGATGTAACGAAGACGACGCCATCGAGATGATGTCTTCAGTCTTCAGTAATAAGGATAGTAGGTTGATGAACCTGTACTAATCCTGACACACTGCTTTCCAGTGAAGGTCCAGCTTCTCCTTGAAAGTATTCACTGATGGGGCTGATACCACTTGTTCAAGTAAGGCGTTCCAATGATTGACTACTCGATGAGAAAAACGGGACCCCACTTTAAGTTTATTAGATCTTGGTTTATGAACCTTCTTGCTATGACCGCGGAGATTATTAGTGCTGGAGGGAGCAAAAAGATAAGACATATTAACACCCAAATCATAATTAAAGATACAAAATGCCAGTATAAGGTCACCCCGTGTCTTACGATACGACAAGGGGAAAAGATTTAGGCGTTTTAAACGCCCATCGTAAGGGAGTCTAGAAAGACCCTTCACTAATTTCGTTCCCACACTCTGAACACGCTCAAGGGAGTTAGTATCCTTTACCAGACACGGCTAGCTGCTTGGATACAGTACTCTAAATGTGGTCTGACATATATGGAATATGAAATTCGAAACGTTTCCTCGTCAAAAGATTTGAACGCTCGGCGAAGTGACCATAACTCACGAAAACCTTTGACAGCGGCTACTTTGCAATGCGTAGTCGTTTTTAAATCATGACTTAATACTACTCCTAAGTCTTTATGCTCTTGAACACATGGAAGAGGTTTACCCTCAATAGTGTAACGGTAACTATTACCGCGACCGTTGTGCATTAGCACACTCTTCCTAGCATTGATTTCTAGGCCCCACTCTCGAGCCCATCTAACTAAATCGTTTAAGTCAGCTTGAAGACCCACATGATCAGCCGCACTTTTTATTGTTCTCCAGATTTTTACATCATCCGCAAACAATAATGTCGACGACCTAAGTAACAGTGGTAACTCATTAACGTAGAGAAGGAAGAGCAGGGGGCCTAAGATGGTGCCTTGGGGTACACCACTTTTGACCGGCTCCCAATCGGATAGCGTTCCGTTAATCCTCGCTCTCTGTCTGCGGTCACATAAGAAATTTCCTATCCACGCATGCACAGTACCTATTATTCCGAAGCTCGTGAGCTTCTGCATAAGACCTACGTGTGAAACCTTGTCAAACACTCTGCTAAAATCGATGAATATCACGTCGACAGACAGACCGTTATCTAGGGCTGCTGTCCGATCCTCCCTCACAATAAGCAAGTTAGACAAGCATGAACGCTTGTTACAAAATCCGTGTTGCTCAGGAGCTAACAGATTGTGTAAATCTATGTGGCTTAGCAACCTAACCCGAATTATCTTTTCAAGTAACTTAACGACTATACTAGTTAGACTAACAGGCCGGTAGTTAGATACTATATGTCTCTGACCGTCCTTAAATATTGGACTGACTATAGCGTCCTTCCAATCTCTAGGGAGTTGAGCGAGTGAAAGGAACATGTTGAAGAGTGTCGCAAGCGGTTTTGAAATAATGTCCGCAAGAGATGACAGCAACCGTGGATGTAACCCGTCAGGGCCCGGTGTCTTACCAGGTTTGAGGTTAGTTATCAATGGAAGGGCAGTTTCCTCAGTCACCTGTACAGATTCAATGGTTGGTATCTCGGTGTGAGTGGGACAAGTATTTGCTACAATAAACGTAGAGAAGACTTCGCTAAAATAGTTTGAAAAAGTCTCAGCTTTTGCTCGATCTGATTCACCTAGTAATTCTGAATTTTCGTGTAACAGTAACGAGGGAATACCATCACTACGTTTCATTTGCCGTTTGACATACGAAAACAATCGTTTCGGACAAGTACGGCTGTCATGTACTAACTGTCGTTCGTAAGTGGCATGGGATTTGGCTATGGTTTTCTTACAGATATTACGGAATTTCCGGTACTCACGCTTAAATGGTTCGTGACATGTCAACAAGAATAAGTCTCAGAAATGTTTCCTACGCTTTAACAGCTTCCGGGTTTCCTTATTAATCCATGGAGGGCAATGTGATAGCTTACGTGCTGACCATGGGAAAAACGGCGACGTTACGGACTCGAATGTAGACTTAAACTTATTCCACTCATCTTCGATCAATCCATCCGCGTCGATCAACCAATCAGTCAAGATAGCACAGTTTCTGATTTCCGGAGTATTGGCTCGCCAGATATTGGGACGGGGTGGAGCAGATGCGAGTTGTATACCATGTGTCCTAAACTTAAAGTGAATTACAACGTGATCACTGTTCACTAGTGGGGGAAGGTGCTGAATATCAAAAACATCCTCAGAGTGGTGGGTGAGGGCGAGGTCCAGCAGTGACGGATCATGATTGAAATCAATATGTGTCGGTTTTGTGATACATTGTACAAGTGCACACTGAATAACGGTAGATAAAAGGTCGCTATCGAAATCACTACCTGGAGCTGTAAGCTCTATCCAGTTGATATGCGGTGCGTTGAATTCCCCAATGATGAGACAACATTCTGCTATTCTCCAAGAACAGATGTGTCTTAGGATAAAGTCGTCAGCAAGACAAGATGGACTACGGTATATTCCCCCTATAGTCACTAACCCATTTCTAGATTTACTCTTACAACATGCAACCTCACATGTGCCACTGATATGAGCCTCCGATATGGGTGATTGTATACGAAAGTGATCGTTAACGGATAGTATTATACCTCCTCCTTTGCGACTTGAAACTCTATCACTTCTAATACAGATATAACGAGCAATGAAAGGAGAACAGTCTATATCAACGGTGAACCAAGTTTCTGTAACAACGATTATATCGGGACATAATTCTTCCACCATCAGACTTAGCTCGGACGTTTTATTTCTAAGACTACGAGCGTTCGTGTAGCACACACTTAAGGTGTTTTGGCAATCAATCGTTCTACCCATACAGGCCTCGGAAGCATTGTCTTGAAAGACCAGACTACCCGAAAACCCTTAATGGTAAGGTTATTTTCGCCATTTAATTTGCGAGTCCTCAACTCCGTAAGAGCATTCTTCCACTTGATTCGATGCTCAAGCGGCCAATCTGGTCGAATACGGATATTTGAGTCACGAGTTTTTGGCGCGTTTTTCAATAATATGTCTCTTTCCTCGAAACTCCCGAGAACCAGCTTCAGGATTCTTCTTGGTTGGGTCTCGCCTTTAACCCATTTACCGAGTCGTATTACTTTTGTAATATGTACCCCTGAAACCTCTTCAGGTAGCACATTCCTTACCACAGACTCCACTAACTGCAGGTCATGTGCATGTCTTCTAGCAGGGTCGTTGTCTTTCGACTCCTCTAGATTCCAAATAATTAAACTACGGAGAGGGTAGCTTCTTTTGAAACTGTGTTAACAGCTTTCGACCATGACGATAGATCCTGTATTTTAACTACTGGTATCTTACGATAAGCTTTTATTGTAACAGAGTCCTGTGAGTGACTCACAACAGTGTTAGACGAAGCTTTACTTTGGAGCTTTGACGGATTGGTTTGAGAGTCCACCAAGGACGTATCAAGTAAACAGACATTAGTTTTAGCTGTTATTTGATTTTTCTTCTCAGTCACGCCAGGATGGGTCTCACTCCTACCATCAGATTTTGGTAGTGCAGTTTGTGACCCACAATGAGAGTCCATCAGTGAGTTACTAACTACCTGTGTACTACCTACAGCTTTTTTCCTTTTGTTTCGTTTCCTACGTACCGTAGTCCATTTTTCATCCCTCAGGACATTGGGACTATTTGGAACGGTGATGGTTTTATCCAGTTCGTCGGTTCCCACTTAAGGTGTATTGTTATTAATGTTAGCACCAAGTGGTATTACTCCCCTTGTTAATGTTAACGGCGATCTCACTTTTGCGTCGATCAGAGTCGGTTGTTTGAGGCGTCGCGTAACAGCAGGTACTACACTGACACAATCGTCACTGTCGGTGCCGGTGTTATCAGCGCATGTGTCATCGTTTTTCTTGCAGGCCAATGCCAATAGGCCCATAGCCTCCTGAATTAGTACCTTTTTATCCGTACAGAAGAACATACAAAGCCAATGCGAGTTAGGCTTCGAGCATCTTTTGTATGCCATTGGACTTAGGCGTGTACACAGTTTGTGGTACCACTTTTTACAGTCATAACACTGCATTCCCTCCTCAACGGGAAACGAATCTTAATGATATTATGTTATCTCGAAGATTTACAAGTTGGGACAATTTTGAGACCTGTTTGAAATAAGTACATAAGGTAACATGACTTCTGTGAACAATAATTATTTTTTTTTTAGTATACGCATACTAAGTACGTTATGTCAGTATGCAAAAAGAACAGTGATGATCCAACTCTAAAGTACTTTTTCGTGAGATATATCTTTACATACCCAAGCTGCCAACTTTGGGGAACTCCCAAAATGAAATAGTCTTCCCCAAAGTTTGGGGAAATTCTGGGGAAAGTCAACAAAATGTTCGTTGCGCAGTTTTCCACTATAACATTTCATCTCCATAAAATAAACAAGCATTAAAGTAGTAAACTTGAATAAATAAATTGACATCTCAATACAACACACATTTTTGGTGAGGAATAGTTTATCGAATTTTAGGTCTTGAAAAAAAACTCGCAACAGGCGCCGATAATCACTGGGTTAATTTCCTCTCTCAAGGTTCCTTTTCGAACAGGAAGTTCAGTCCTAACGTGATTTGCATTTATCAAACTTTTGCTGTGTTCTTACGCAACAAAAGTACCATTTCAGTTCTAAAGAATCTATCCTGAGCTATACGTTCGGTAGATTACTTTTTCGCGTTTTACCATATTTAATAGTTACTTGTGGTTTTGCC